GTTTCGCCGGGCTGCGAAGAAATATAGAGCTGAGTATCATCAGCATATCAGTGAAAGTTAACACCGTGTTTCCTGATGATATCTCCCAAGGGTAACATGTAACGGGTGAAGAGTAACGGCCCTAGTACTTAGCCTTGAGGTACTCCATACTGCACTTGTGATCGATATGATACCTCTCTTCATTCACTGCTACGAACTGATGGCGGTCATATAAGTACGATTTGAACCACTAATGCACTTCCATTAATGCCAACAAAGTTTTCTAGTCTATTCAAAAGAATGTTGTGGTCAATAGTGTCGAACGCAGCGCTAAGATCCAGTAGCACTAATAGAGAGAGATAACCACAATCAGATGATAAGAGCAGGTCATTTGTAACTCTAAAGAGAGCAGTCTCAGTACTATGACACGGTCTAAATCCTGACTGGAAATCCTCACAGATACCATTTTTCTCTAAGAAGGAATATAATTGTGAGGGTACTATCTTTTCTAGTATCTTGGACAGAAAAGGTAGATTCGAGATCGGTCTGTAATTAACTAGTTCTTTGGGGTCAAGTTGTGGTTTTTTGATGAGAGGCTTAATAACAGCCAGTTTGAAGGCTTTGGGGACATATCCTACTGACAATGATGAATAATAGTCAGAAGAGGATCTGTGACTTCTGGAAGCACCTCTTTTAGGAGCTTAGATGGAATAGTGTCTAACATACATGTTGTTGGTTTAGATGATTTAGTTTAGACCAGGGGTGGGGGATGTTGATCCTGGGGGGGTCGCTGTTCTGCAGAGTTTAGTTCCAACCCTAATCAAACACACCTGAACCAGCTAATCAAGCTCTTACTAGGCATGCTAGAAACTTCCCGTCAGGTGTGTTGAGGCAAGTTGGAGCTAAACTCTGCAGGACACCGGCCCTCCAGGACCGTGTTTGGGCACCCCTGAACTAAAGCTTTACCAATGCATTATTCACTTACCAAACCACAACCAGAATACATTTGGCAATGTTACGAACACAGTTCAGTCTTCTTCCATCATGTTGGACTTAATGTCATGCATGCATTCATTTGTCCATTAACAGCTGAGTTTGTGTAAGATGTTGCACTACACGTCGCTGTCACTGAGAATACTTATTTCTCTGAATAAGTATAAGATGTGTGTGTTGTAGTTTGCATCAGTTTAAGGTTTGAGAACATAGTTATGAATGGATTTGGATGGAACTCTGTGATCTCTCTTTGTTTCACCCACTGCTGCTGCGTCCAGAGGTCCTAAGGAATTGTTATGGTGGTCACAGGCCAAAACCTTAGGAATCAGTCTGTTGGGGGGTGAAGGGCAGAAACAGCATTTTGACCAATGAGAAGTCCTGTCATTCCCGGGCTTCGTACCAAAGGTCTTCTTCTTGCCCTCTAAGAGGTGTCTGGCTGTTGTCCTGGCATCTTTATCTGATGGCCTTGGAGAGTTTGCTTATGTTAGTCCACCAAGATCCAATCAAAATGTAGCAAACCTTTGTCCACTATTGTGGTCAGAGAGGGGCCCCACCATAAACTGGGCCCTGGAATGTGCTGTCCACTACACTGATAACAGAACAACTAGTAAGCGAAGCCTAATAACCAAAACCTGTTAACAGCAAGTCTTGTCTAGCATCCCAAAATAGCCAAAACTGTATTAACAGTCTACTATCAGCCAAAAACTTGATTGAAAAAAAACAGTGAAGAGCAGAAGCAGGAGACGAAGTGATGATAAAAAGTAGCAGAGATTATTGAATAATCTTAGTTGCATATGTTTCAATGCTCAGACTTCGTCTGACCAGCACAAATTCAACAAGTACTGTTATAACAATCTGATTCAAAACAACATCCCATAAACCTTGAGTTTACACTCCCTTGCATCTCTTATTCATGAAGACAAACTCATATAAAATCCACCTCATTCGTACATCTTGTTGTAGCCACTTTGGTGGCATATTCAGCTCCACTTAAGGTCCTCCCAGCCTCCCAGTGCAAGAGGTGAATGTTTGAAGTGACTCACGATTTTTCTGCTGACAGCCAGTGCGTCACTTACACTGTGCTGTGCTAGCAGTCCCTCGTTCACAATAAGTTGCAGGGTTGGCAAGTCCGTGGTTTCATCTCCCCACCACGAAACGCGATTGGACAAGTTTTTTGAGTAGCAATTGAGAGTTGTTGTTTTTTTGGGTGAAAACCTGGCAACCCTGCGTGACGCATGCTGCTCATCTCTCTTACGGCATGTCGCTCAGATGTTGTTAAGCATTTGTATGACAGTTTAGGACTAAGGTGCGTGCTCGTATCGGTTTATACTCCTTTGACTCCTACAATATCCGATCCAGTGATTTTGGCCAGTATCGGATACGGAATATCGGATCGACGCACCCCTATTTTAGACGAAACCTACGCTCCCTTTCACCCTCCCATCTTTCCTCTGTAGTATCCTCCTCTCTTCCCTCACCTACTAATTTCTCATCTCTGGATGTGAATGCAGCAACTGACACTTTATGCTCTACTTTAAC